CACACACACACACACATTGAGCTTCTAAGGAGGAGTAGGTATCTGGCTAGATTCAGCTCTTCCTGTTCTGTAGCAGACTTCTCTTAAACTTCGTTACTGTCATCGCAAACAACAACCAAATAATTATTTTGGTGGAATTTTTAAATTTCTATAAGCTTTTAGCATGCTCTCCTGGATCGTATGGGCCAAACTGCGAGCACGAATGCTCCTGCAGAAATAATGCAATCTGTGACAGTAAGGACGGCTCGTGCAAATGCCCCTCCGGTTATTACGGTGCTACATGCAGCGAAGGTAATCTCAAATACACTTTGGGACGCTACTGGAAACAGTGATAGTAAGCGAGGTAAGAGAGAGAAAGATAGCAACGGCAAAATAAAGTGATATTTGGTTCGTTAATTCATGAACTTCTTAGCCCATCACCTCAATGAAAATCCTCAACACGAACCTGTTAATGAATCTAGAGGGGCAGGTGACCGAGAAGCGAAATACGAATAAATAGCAGCACGCGCCATATTAGTCAAAATGGTAATGTGTTTCTCAGCGGACTGTTGTTGTTAGGAATATTCATTGCTTTGCAATTTGGTATGCGCAGAAATATGAAATTTACGAGCCCATATTTAAAAGGTAAGCGTACGCGAGAGCTAACTTTGAATTTGTAGATTCGCACTTGAACAGACAAATAGTTTTATCTTTCTGTTTTATCTAGTTCTAAATTCCTCATAAAATTTCACGTTTACATGAAGGTAAATTTGAAACTTTTAAGATTGTGCGTTTAAAAAAAGCATAATGCTAAATTTTTAACTTTTCATCTTGCCCACTGTCGAGACAAGAAATTTCACGCAAACGTTTGTTCGCACGTCAAACTCAGGCTTAAGTGGAGGCTGAATTTAAAACTGGGCGCGCATGGGCTTGGAATGTTATTCAAAAAATTTAACTTCTAACTTTTCTGGTCCCCAAGTTAGTAATTAAGTCACTAAAACTTTTATATGGCCATATGTAAGGCCTGGGCGTAAGTGGAGATTGAATTTAAATCTGCGGGATCAGAAGTGATTAGAGAACATTCTAAAATTTCCTTGCTTTTGTTTTTCCCAATTTGAAAAACCCGGAAAAATGCACTTGAACACAGGTATACAAATTTAACACAAATACGCACACACACACACACAAACATAAAAACATAGGGACGAGACTGCATGCATTTTGTACAGCTGTTACAGAATTAAAATTCACAAAAAGCAAAGCCAATAGAAGGAATGAAGTTGGACAAGCGGAAAAGGAGAAAAGGAAGAAAAAATTTATTGCAATGGACCTGCGGTTCCAACTACCTTCATCAGAAACCGGAAGATGAAGTTAGCCAGTGCAGAGGTCCCCATCAAAAGCTAAATGAAAGACTAGTCAGTTAAAAAAAGACAGTAGCAACCAATAGGCCGAATCAGGCGCGCTTGCGTAATTGGCATGGTGCTGCAGTTGAACAGCAACGGAGTAAATCAGGATGATAAAGACTGTTCAGACTTTTGCCGGTTCCGCACTTTGTCCTCACTTCCTCATGATAGTGCGTGACAGCACTGTGATCACAAGGAGCCACTCGCTGGCAAAATTATCTTTGATTCTTGCTTTGGAGGGACGCTTGAAAGTCAAGTTAGAGCCACTTTGATTTCTAGCACAGGTCTATGACTAAGAGTGGCATGCTCGGAGAAACGGTTTGGATGTCCCATGTTAAAGATGTTACTGGTTGATGTGCGCCAGTGCTGGGTAGAGCTGTATATCTCCAGCTGGTACTCACCGCTTGTTCAACGTGTCTGCTTCATCTCTTCAGAGGTGGCTACGACGGTCATTTGTTTTCTCTTGGATCTCACTCACTGATATGCACATGTACTGGTGTCAGTAAGGCTAAATATCCTGCTCATCGGACTTTAGTTTTTTCCGCACAATGGCCCTCGCAAGCACAAATTCGTTGTCGAAACTGATAAACATAAAATTTGATTACCGGAGCGAATTTCGGTTCGAAGACTACCGCTGGTCACTAACTGCAAGAAGCAAGGCTGCCTGTACTGCATCTAATATAACCGATTGACGAAAAACGGCTTAGAGAAACATTCAGATTCATGTTTTGCTGAACACCAATTAGTTCAAACGTTAAAAGTTACGTATTGGTGTTACCAAGTTCGTGTGGGTGATGAAGCTTTATAGCTAGACGCTTTTTTCACTGTGCTGAGCCCTCTGTGAGCGCCTAGTTTAGGTGTTTTTAAAGTTCCATGTCACAGTAAGTTCATTTTTCTCCGTAAATCGGAAAAGTTAGTAATGAAGGCGGAACGAAGGTATTTTGAGTTTGCCCGGCCGGTCGCTATGGTTTGGATTGTATGCAGCTATGCGACTGCCACAACGGTGCTGGATGCAATCCTTCGAATGGTATCTGCGAATGTTTGGTCGGTTGGAGTGGCCAGAGATGCGATACACCATGCCCGGAAGGGTATTTTGGCACAAATTGCACAGAGCAGTGTAGCTGCGAGAACGGGACGCAGTGCGATCCAGCGGACGGCGAATGCATTTGTCAACCAGGATTTCGCGGGAAAAGCTGTGAATTGCGTAAGATTTATTGTGACGATAAATACTTTTAAAAATAATGTTAGCAATAAAAAAAAAGGAAAGGTTATTGCTGTTTGCAAAAATTGTCATGAAAATTCATGTGACTGAATTTTCTCAGTTGAAATACATGAAACTTCTCTTGTTGACTGCTATTTCAAATCTCATCAATTTATAAATTTTTTGATGCGTTTTTGTATCATTTTTAAAAGGGCAGGCGTTACCGAAATCGTGTAGCATGTTCCATTCGATAATTGAACTCAAAAACCCAACCAAAAAGCTCGGAGACTGCTTTTTTCGGGTCAAAACCTTGACCAACGTGTTAGATCATGAATTTGAAATTATGTCTTTCCTCTTCCCCGGCTTATGGTTTTGGATCGTAATTCAATCCAAGTATTAAGTTCGGAAAACAAGAAAGTAATGAACTTCATAAGGTTTGCATCATTACACAGCGTCCAAAAACAGCTTTCAGGCTTCATATTTTTAAACCCACTAATCAGACCTAAATTTGCATGAAAGTCTATAATTTCAGATCGTAGCGAATTAGGAACTGAAAGTCTTTGATTCGGGGATGTCTGAACAGGGTAGCGTTAATGATAGGAAGCGGCTTTCAAGTCCCACTAGTTGCTGCGATCCAAGTTCGACTTGAGGCGAAATTGCAAACAAAACTCGAAATTCCTGAGTTTGGCGTCAGACATAATAATAGGCTCTGAAGAATGATTCAAAATTAGAATCGGTCTTTTCCCTTTGCATCTGGTTGTTACTTTTGGCACTTGCCACCACCACAGCTCTTTCTTGATTACTCAGTTTTTATAGAGTCAATATAGAACAGATTTTAACCTTTAACTTCTGCCACTTAATTCTCCCACCAATGATACAGATGCAGACTGAAATCATAATTCCAGGACGGAATAGATTCTCAGTCATGAAAAAATTTATTGGTGCTTTTCATGCGCCGAATGAGTTAAAACTAGCAGCGGTACATAAAAACATGCTGTGTGTGTTTGTGTTTTGCTTTCATAACCAGTTGTAGAGTCACAGAAACTTATAGCACAAACTCATAACTCGCCTAACGAAAATCTTCAGTTATTCAGCACTACAAACCACCATTTTAGCGTGTGAACAGGGCA